CATTTTAGGACAAACAAAGAAGTTTCGCCACTATCTATCCATTTATACTTTTGTTTGAATTCAGAGCGCATGAATGTGGTGGCAATCGAATGAAAAATGCTTGTATGAAAGAGGGGGAGGGAGAGAGACGTTCCTTTGCACTTAACGGAGCTTATCAGGGTTCAATGGGACCAATATGCCTGAGAACCCCTGTGGTAGGCGATGCTGTGAGCCCTCGTAACATTGCTAATTGGGCTAATTACACAAGAAAAATCTACAGTTCAAGACGCTCCTAATATTCTATTTCCAAACGTTAACCAAGTGGGGTCTGCTTTTTATCTCGTGCTCGTCGGTTTTATATATCTTCAAAAAGTCTTCGGAGAAAGCAAGGAGAAACTTCTCGGAAGATATATTTTCGAAGAACCTAAAAACATTCGAAGTAATCATCGGCTACTTGTCAAAATAAGCTATGAACAAGTACTTCTTCAGGCTATGATCATTTGCGTATTTTTTCATCTATTGCTGCAAAAAGCGGAAATCAGCAATTGGGAATCTCTCGGAGCACAGGGAGGCGTTTCGGAAAGTTTATGTTATTACACAAATCTGCACCTTTCTGCTGTCGAAGCCATGGTCAGAAAAGGCTGCGTACAGCGTAACAGTGTAGTCTTGAAAGTTGAGTGGAGGGCCAGAAGTTTGATTCAACTAATCGCTGGAATCTGTCACAAGATATGCTCGCGAAACATCTCTGCCTGATAGTAACGCGTGCTTACTTTCGCCTTTAATGAAGCCTTCCCCTTTTTACAGTGAAAGCTGTTATACGATCACAAGAACAGGCGTTTCCGTGGCCTTAATTGTTCATCATCCCCTCCGCCGGTGTTCTAACCTCTATCGGGTTAAATGGAAAAGAATATCTAAGATCACACCAAATTCGAACCGGGGAGCTCTGCTTGGCACTCAAGTATTGTACCACATAGCCCAACCAGTGCTTGAAACTCCCTTTCAATTACAACCAGGCGTCGTTACATGCGAATTGCGCAATGAATGTTTGGTTTAAAGCTTCCTAACCACTGTATTGGGCTCAGCTATAATTCTTCACCACCATCAACCACAGTATAAACAAAACGAATACACACTGCCTCGCAGACGCGTTGCGGCCACCTCACTTCTGCACAGAATGACGAATAATGGCATAGTGAGTGCTTGCCTTCGTCACAAAGATTATCATGATTTATGACCTATAGTGAATAACTTGCAAGCGCACTTGTAGTATAGTCACCCCTACAGAGTTACAAGTTCTAGAAATTTCGCTAATCCAGCTAGCTTTCGCTGTGACTGTGCTCCTTACTTCGCGCAGGCCTGCCGTTTTTCGCTATTGGCTATCAGATCACCGGTCATATTCAGGATATATCTAATCAGGTTATCAATTAAGGGGGCCCTGCAACAATTTTCTATGTAACCGTCAAAGGGCTTCATTAAAGAAGTTTAATACCTCGCGAATTAACCACCGGAATAAATTCGAGAATGCTTCATGTACGGGTAGAATTTCAAATATTTGTCAATTTCTGTAATTGCTTCTTTTCTCTTGTACTGACGAGCACGCTGGAACTTATGCTGTAAGGAATGACATGGGGCAAAGATGTTACGTCACGGGCGCGTCCTGATCTTGAACTGCCTTTTCTTTCATTTTTTTTCGTTGAAACGCGTGGCTTACTTTTAGTGTGATCGCAAGTGCTCAAGCACGCTCATGAATCCATCTGGCGGCGGCAAGGATAACTATGCAGCTCCATGTGTTCAAATGAGCCAGGAGCCATGAATAGGGGTATGTGGCGCAGTCATTTGGGTATATGGCAGCATTTGTAGAAAAAAGAAGGAATGATTTCTAGTTGTCTTTGAAAACTGTAAACTCCACGCCACGTGCTGCGCTATAGTGTTTAGCTGACATTTTAAACTGATCGACATTGTTTTGTTACCATGTTGAAAACGTGTTGCAAGGTCCTTTTATAAGCTCAAGCGGCGTCACTTACAGTCCTGTTCGAAAGCATTTCTGTTTGCTTTAAATATCTTTCCCTTAAAGACAAGCGTTATGTTGAATATAGAAAGATTTGCGTTTTTAAGTGTGTTTGCTTATTTGCCAGTAACTTTCGCTAATGAAACACGTGTGTTCGACATCACGACTAGCAGGCATGCTTGCTTACAAAAAAAATTGATCTAAGGGAGGAAATTTGTGCGAACGTGCTTGGGCATTCGTGAACCTTCTTGTTTTTGCTTATTGTGTGTCGTTGATCGGCTATCATTATTGTTGTCATGTCCACCATCAGAATTAGGTGAAGTTTGCCGTGAGGCTGGATTTGTTCGAAAGATAAAATTGCACTCCAATATCATATCGCACAACAAGTAGAGAAGACGGTCGGCCAATGGCAAACGGTACTTGCAAGCAAAATGTATCTGAATTTAGCAGCAGGCACCTTATTCAAAAGAATATTGTTTGCAAAAATGGTTCTAATAAAACAAAATGACCCAACCAAGGCGGCCAGTCAACGGCACAGGCCATGTGCGAACAAAAAGGTTCTATAGAATTAAGCGTCAATTCTATTACCTTTTGTTTGTTAGACAAAATGTAGTATTTATATCTCCCATGATTCTTGTGCTGTATTCTTGAACTATAATGCCAGAGACATGAAATTAGAACTGAATTTTGTGAATGTTTACGTAGGCCGAAGTGATAACGCCTAAAAGACAACAACAAAGTACAGCCGCGGACATGTCTGTGTAGAGCACGCGAGGAGCCAGTTTTTGCTCCGCACGGCGAAACCTCGAGGCAGTTTCGGGCCCTGATGTGGTCAGCCTGACAGCTAGGCTGCACATTCTTCTGATACAGCACTTCACAACCCGAAACTGCCTCGAAGTTTCATCCCGCAGAGCGAAAACCGGCTTTTCGTATGCTTTACACAGACGTGGCCATGGCTGTACATGTATATTCAAAGGAAGCTCTTATTATTGAAGGATTTGTAAACAAGAAAGAAAAAGTTCATCCAATCCTGATGCTATACAGAATGCTAAAGTAGTCAACTAATTGTGAAATTTACTTACGTACGCAAAATGCTTCAAATATTACCTCTTAAAATGACTTGGTTGCGGTGCTTAAATTTCTGACACTGCTAATGAAGTTGTGTGGTGCCGTTACAGATGACTTCCAAATAATTTTGACCATCTTGTGCTGCTTGACTAGCCCATTATTCTGAGTATACCCGAGTGTTGTTGAATTACGCCTCCATCAACATGCAGTCATCGCGGCCAACAACCGAACCCGCGATCCAACCCGTAGGATGCTGAGCCACCACAGCGGATTAAAGGATTATAATTTAGCTACGGCTACAAGTGCGACCTGCTTGATAAACACGCATGCGTGTTTATTTTCAGGAATGGCGCAATGTGAAGCCAAGTTTAACTATTGGGCATATGAAAGACGAGAATTGAAACGTGATGCATAGCGTTCTATCGGCGCGACTCTGGTCAGGAGATCTTGATTGTACTTTCTCACTGAAAACCCCTCTAAGGCATTCATGTCGCAGATATATTTATGTATTGTTTTCAGTGTACACTCGTCCTGTTCTTTTTTTTTTTCGATATGTGCATTTTCCCTGTATGCGCCTCAAGGTAGCACAGGTGCCATATTTGGATATGTGGTTGAATTTTTCGTGTAAGCTTTGTTGTGAAATCAAAGAGTGACGTTTAATGCCATTGAGATTGACTCTTCCAAAGTTACAACTTTACCCTCAGAGTCTAAATCTGTCTTCACTTTTGGTGCAGGCCAAAAAAGTTATCCGTGAAGGCGAGCTTCACGTTGAACCGCTGCTTTCAAGGATCGGGCTGTCGTTCAGTGAATGCACCGGTTCAAGCTTCAACACATGCTTTCGTTTACTTTTCACCACTGGTACGTACAATGTAAGCTAAAAGGATTGGCGTTGTCCCTTTAAGAAGGATAGGTTTCACTTAGGAAAGCAGAAAGAACTCTGCTAAGGACACCTAAATATTGAGATTATCATTCTACACGGCTTCCTGTAGCGGTACTGTTCCTTTCCTGTTAATGGTCCGCTCTGCTAAGAACCTCTGCTAAGGACACCTAAATATTGAGATCATCATTCCACATGACTTCCTGTAGCGATGCAGTTCCTTTCCTGTTCCTTTCCATTCCTTTCGACTGAACTCATTGTGAATAAATAAAATTTGCCTGAAGCAGCTTGCTGAGGGCGATACAGAAGTATGTAAGGCGCTTGTACCATAATACAGGAAGAATGCTCTCAGTTATTGAACGGAATTCCTTACTAATTTCTAAATAATTTCAATAGAAACTTGTTCGTAGTCGTGAGCGAGAGACCGAAGAACGTGCCTTAAGTGTCGTGTTCACGGTGCTTCGGTGAATGCTCACGCTACATCATACTGCGTGCTTATCCATGTCTCATCGTTGTCGGGTTGTCTTTAGAATTCTACAAGTGCAGGCCAGTTCACCGCAAAACTTGGGCTAAAGGTGAAGAAACTTACAAAGGCATTGTCGCATTGTATGAGTGATGCGTCGCCCACGAAATGGTTTCTTTGCCCGATTTTGTTGCAGCACTGAAGTTCAGGACCTCATGAATAAAATTATAGATCTATGTTGTACGACTGCAGCCCTATAGAAGTGCTACATTTTACAAAGAATGGTTTGGGTTAATTGGCGGCAATTCACTGCTTAACGGGATCACAACACAATACGCTTGTATTGGAAGTTAAAGCAGTATTTCTCGATCATTAGCTGATCAGTTGTTCACACGCCGAGTTTCGTACGAGCACACCCGGTTTACTTTTCACCAGTCTAAGCGCACTGTTTGATGCCTTCTCGACACGATCAAGTGAAAACAAATGGACAACACCGAGGGTGAGACTAGCGGTTCATTTCACGCGCCACGGAAACGTCCGTCGAAGGTGCACGAGCGCGACCGGAAGGTCCGCTCCACCGGAATGAGCGGCCGGAGGACACTCACCACGCCTCTCATGATGATCCTAGTTGGTGTCAATCGGTGTGCTGATATAAACAACACTTGGTGGCGGCGAGACGCTGATCTCTGGTGAGGCGATCGAACCTTGAGAACACGGCAAAGATGACGGACGGGTTGTACGCGCTCCGCGCACTGCGCTGCTTCAGCTGCTGCTATCTCTAGCGGTGAGACCCGGCAGGAGCGACTGGCATGCTTCGGTGGGATGAGCGGCGCTTATATAGCGGGAGGAGGAAGCGTCCGCTCCTCCAGCCGGGAACTGACCTAGAGAAAACTGTAACAGAAAGGGAAAGAGCCGGCGTGCCGAAATAGAAGGCACCGAACACACCGGGTGTGCCCGCACGTCACTCCGCTCTCGCGTGTGCATGCGCGCGGAAGAAGAGACCGGTGCGTGTTTGTGTGTACGAGAGAGTCTTTCGGCACTGCTTCTGCTCATCATGACTGCGGCGGCTCACTTGCAGGGCAGGCGCTTAATTGCCGCGTTAGTAGGAGGAAGGGACAGGGGCTGCACTCTTCCCCGTCCATACCCTTCTTGTCACTCTTCGCTTGTCATTTTGTAAAACATGGCTCTCTCTCTCTCTCTCCTCCTTGAGCTTCGCTCGCGGAACAGAGACGCGCTGCCCGCAGCCCCACTTCTCGATATACTGTTATGCCGGAAAGCACGCGTTGCTTTCGGGCTCACCCTCTCTCTAACGCAAAACCGGAGTTCTTGTTAGCGTCCGGGTTCCGCATTCTTACAGAGGCGCGAATTTTCTTTGCAAGCCCGACCCAAGCTCGCGAATAATCGAAAAGATTCAGGAAAACCTTTTTGTTTCTGCACAGCAAAGACAAGAATAGAGTCGATCAAGTGCCTTTCAACTTAACGTGTTTAGTTTTTTATCCACCTGCAAGGGCTTCGCGCAATCACGCACTTCCATACAGTATGTTCCTTATGCAACTATGTAGCATTACACTTGTTGGAGATCATTAGACTCATTACTAATATTTCATGGTTTGTATTTCGAAGCTAAAGACAAATTGCAGTACAGACGACTGAAAAGCTTACATAATTACGTCAACTTGTTGATAAGGCCAATTTTGAAAGAAACATGGCTACTATCATATAAATGCCTTATAGCACCCATGTAGCACTGTAGTGGTGGGACTACGTTAATATCAACACCCGTTTGTTTATTAAATAACCTCTAATCATCTGCTAAGTGTTCTGCATTTCGTCATCGGTGAACAATGGCTGCATGGCTGCATTAGTCCTGTAATAAAGCAAGTCGTCGTGCTCCTGCGTGCTGGAGTTGTCCTGCCATGCTGGAGTTGTCCAGCAGGCTTCGGTGTCTTTCTTTAAAGAAGATTGTCGCTCGCTCTGAAGGAGTTGCAGCTTTATGCTATATTGTGCGAAAGTACATGTTGTCTGCCAAACAACTGATATGAGTGAAAAGTCGCGCGAGGCCTGCCTTGTTTTATCGACGCGCGATGCGGCCAGAGGCAGGCTGAAGCGCCACGTTTCCAAAGCAGTGCATGTATGGCGAGAGAAGCTTGCTGGGATAAAAGGATTAGTCGCTGTAGAAGCAGGTCGCACAATACAGAGGCGACCGAGAAGGGGCTAAACACTACCGGGGAAACGACAACTTGTGGAGCAAAACATGTGTGATGACGACAGGCTCCGCGAGACTCTGCAACGGCGGAGCACACTGAAGGCGAAAACGCAAGCTCTGTGGGCCAACCCGTGCCGTATCATTTGTACGCATATTTGTTAACTTACATGTACAATACTATAAAGTGTCTCACCATTACGGTAGCAGTTTGATTTGTTAATTTACTTATGGCTAAAGGAAAGCAACACACAGAGAGGGAGAAATAGCTGTAGTAATTCTCATGCATAAGGGGAGATATCATTACAAAGTTCCTGCAATACAAGGAACAATTGCTCTAGTTTAGTGATTGGTTTCACATACTAGATAGATGAGCTCTCCCACCAAGCACGTTTCTTGCTTTTTGACTTCACCCTGAAAACCGAAGATGCACAATAACCAACCTATTCCATTTGGTATCTATTTGAAGATGTTAGGATAGTTGGCTATATCGCATCCCACCTACTTACGTTTCACGTTCAAATAAAAATAAAAGCCACAGCTTCGACGCAAAGGCAAAGCAATGAACGCGATAGCAAAAATTTAAACGTCACGCGAAGAATGGCAAGGACAGTATGGATAGAATGGAGACGTGCCACGCGTTGCTCAAGCAGAAATAAGGCACACAACGTAATCACAGGTACAGATGATTGCAAATAAGTGTCCCAGTTGTTACTTCGCTGTGTCTGAAAAGCACGCCCTTTTCGTAAACGAAGACTGTGTTGCGAGTGCAAGGACCTTTGTACGCCCGGTAACTACAACAGAATAGTTTCGTTGAAGCCCAAGGCGTACGATTCTCCCCATCACGAGATAAGCGCACGCACGAGTGAGCGTCTACCCCCTCCCCTACGCGGGGAAAAGTATGCGTAGGAGATGAACGCATCAGCATGCGTCACAGTGTCGTGATGATCTGGCGACACGCACTCATTGCAGTATCTCGCTCGCAATGCATGTTCAAGTGATGCTTAACACGGTAGTTTTCCAGAAATCCCCATCGGCAGCTGTAAGTGGCATGTATAAATAGCTGGGCGTTTCAATGACAAATGAAGTGCTCCTTTGTGGCTCTGTGGCTAGTGCTACGCATTCACACGCAAGAGGTCGGACGTTCGTTTCCGAGCGCTGAAGTCCTTCTCTGCACTAGTTTTCTTTATTGCGTTTTCCTATATATATATATATATATATATATATATATATATATATACATATACGGTGAATGACGGCGGTCACTAACGTCGACGTCGACGCTGACCGAAAAATGCAGCCGAGAGTGTCCATATAATTGATATCGCAATAAAAAAGAGATAGAATAAAGGTAAAGCGTATGGAAACAAAGAAGCATGAAGACGATGGCGTTGAAAGGGAGTCATTGGCGTCATTTGAATATCTCCTCGTTACTGAGCTCCAGTTTTTTATTCTTTTTATTGCAATAAAAAATTACAATCTGTTGCGTGAATGTTTGCCACACATCTCAAACGGCCCATGCCATTTGACTGATAAGTTGTGAGATATTACGTAGAGGAGCGGTTTTCGACATTCGGTCCAGGCAAGTACAGAGAGTAATAATCATTGAGATATCCTTTTGAATGCAGAGAGGAAATAACGTGAAATATTTTGATGCGACCACGCAGAGTGCTAGGACAGTATAATTATTGCACAAAGGCAAAACTAATAACAATGAAAGTGGGAATAAGAGTCCAATTTTTAAGATCTTCTAGAAAAACTTGCCATTTTGATTTATTTTTTATTGTGCATAAGAATGTCAAAGCTGGCTGAAATGGTACATGGGAAAATAGAAGCGAGAAAGAAGTACAGCAGAAGACAGGGATGTCAAGAGACTCTGACCAGTTTGCTACACTGAACATGGGGAGGGGAATAAGTGAGTAAAAGAGAGAGACAGTGAATGAAAACGCATCGGTGCGCACATTTCCCAACACAATAAGCACACAGTGCAGCGTGTCTACAGTGAATCTCTTTATTCCGTTGTCTTCAAGAGCTGAGAGAAAACTCTTGCGACTCTTTTGGTTGATGAGTCCCTCAAGGCGCCTTGTCGAGGCCCGCGATGTCGGTCGAGTTGAAGACAGAAGCAGAGGTAGAAACTCATAATGGAGCTTAGGGAAAGCGCATAAAGAGGAAGCGGCAGTAGTAAAAAAAGAAGAAAGTAATCAATCAATGCTCTTACATGTAATGTGGCGGTAGCATTGTACTGTAGTCACAGGCATTTGCAAAGGTCCGTAGTCCTTGAAAACTTTGGACCGTCTCCTCGAAAGAAACCCTGACGGGATGCGAAGCAGCAGCGATACGCACAGCGTTGACCCGGCTGAAGCGGGCATTGACACGGGTGCTGGAAGAACGGTTGAAGCTAAACGCGGCGTAGCATTTACTCGACTAAAGGTTTGTTTGAAGCACAAAGACACGGGAGGTGGGATGCGTTGAAGACGTTTGCACTCGGATTCCTTGGCTCGTGTCTCGTCGGTGTTAACCACGCGCCGCCTGTATTCCCGAACACAATTGGTGTTCTTGACTCGCACCTCGTCAGTGTCACTGGTCTTCCACGGCCGACGCTTGTGTTCGGATTCCCTGGCTCGCGCCTAATTGGTGTTGACGTCGCCATTCGCGAACATGGTCGGCTTCGCTAACCCTCGCAACGCCGGCGACAGCGGAAAAGGTAGGCGCACACTAGTCGTAAGCATGCCGCTATGGCGTACTGGCCGTCGGCGCAGCGGCGCGCTGTCCACGTTGTCGGCGCCGCGAAAATCTCGAGGCACCCGCAGTGCGTGCACCCGCCGGCTCGCGGCTTCTTCTCGCCGACAGATGGAGAAAGTGGCGTGAATGAGATGATGACCACGTGAAGAGTGGGCTTGAGCGTTCAGAGTGGTGAAAAGGCTGAAACGAGAACGAGCTGGCACGCGGAGAGCACGTGGCAGGCGATGAAGGGAGGAGGGCACTGCGAGGAGGGCGTGAGCTGCATGGCACCGCTCCAACACCTGCGGTGAGGGGAGCGATGCGGACGGAGGGACATAATTACACAGGCTAGTCAAAGAGCTGCTTTGCATCTAAAAGCACAAAAGTGTTTCAAATGACATGTGAGCCAATGAGCGATAGAGATGGTAATCCAGTAGCATCTGCGCGGATAGACATTTATTGTCTCTTAACTGCGTTTTGGAGTGCGTCGGCGTGCCTCGTCCCTCGTAGTCGGTCGCTGTGTAACCAAACGTACGGTCACAGCGGGAAACGCCTCACGGGCCACGTCGCGTGCGCGTTCGCTAATGAAAGTTCAGAAAGCTGTCAGTTGGCGGGTGGGTGGACTTGCCCTTCACGCATCTTGGTGGAACCATTCGGTGAAGCCGGTGCGTGCATTAAACATTTCGACGAAATGAAATACTACAAGTACTGCATTCACCCATCGTGCCCACATTTCTGATTGTATTTGCGTAGAGTTCAAAATGGATAAAGCAACAATAATCGATTGCACGACGAATGATTTGTGTGACCTTAAGGTTTATTTCATCACGATCAAGGGTTGCAGAGGCGTGCTTTTTGGAGTATGGGCGGAAAATGAACAGTTGTCTCCACT